TGAGAGGGGGTATTCTATTATTTTATGCACGTGAATTAGGCAAAGGAAGTGTGTCAAATCGTGCCAAATGTAGTTCGCAGCTTACTTTTATATGTGACAAGAGTGAATCGTGAAGGTTTATGATATGGATATGAGTGTTTATGATATGGATATGAGTGTGGATGATATGAATGATAAACTCGTGGAAACTGTCCATGAGGTCGGAGTTAAATTCTACAAGACTTGCCGCAGAAAAACTCAATAACGTTTAAATCACACTCTTAATCTCATGTCCGCGTAGACGGGAAATGAAGCTGCAGTCTTCAACAATTTAACAGCATACGGTCAATTGAACACACAGATCTCTAAATCAGTTCGTATTGAGGAAGCGATCGAGCGGAATTAAGGCTCCAAAGTCTTTGCCAGAAATTTGTCTGGTAGAAAGAGGCAACTGTCAAAGCTGAAGACTGAATGTGGCAGCAACGTTTCCAGGACACCTGAGATTTTGAGTGAGATTGAGTGGTGCTATAGGCAGCTGTACATCACGGAGGATGTCGGAGCTACACGCAAATGTGAGTAGCGATCCAAGAGCAAGTATATCCGACACTATTCCAATGATATCCAGGACGGCAGTCTGAGCGAGGTTAGAATTTCTCTCCAATGTCTTAAAAACGGAAAGGGCCCAAGGAGATTAGAATTACAGCGGAGCATCTGAAAACGGGTAAAAAAAACTGGTACTTAAAGTCCTTCAGAAGCTCTTTAATTCCGTCCCCTATGGTGGAACTACTCTAGAGACGTGGAACAAAAGTTCAGTGGTCTTGTTTTTCAAGAAAAGTGATAACGCTCATTAGAAAACTGCAGACCGATTTTCCTTCTGAACCGCGTCTACGTGCTGTTTTCGAGTCATTACGAATCGTCTCGTACGCTGACTCGCCGACCTCCAGCGGCTTAAGTATCATACACATCTTTCGGCAAATTGTACAGAATACCAAACATACACTTTGACTTGCGTATATGGACTACGAGAAAGCTATTGATTCCATCGAAATTTGGGCGGTGTTACAGTCTCTTCAGCGGTGTCAAGTTGACTGTCTGTTCCCTACCTGTCTGTGGCACAATGGCTCCCGAACGGATGAACTGTTTATTGATTAAGTTATTTTCGTTTAAAAGTTGATTAAGTCTTAATTGAGAGTGTTCTTAGCTATGTTTCAAGAAAATCTGTTTAGCTGTTTGAAGATTATCAACTCGTGTTGTTTCGGAGGTTTTTTAAATTTTAATTTAAATATTTTCAACTTTCTTTTGTGTTATATCTGTCCGGATCAAATTTTGTAATTAATTTAAAACTAACATCCTGATGATCTAGACAATTGAAATTTCGAACATAGCTCAGAACGACAATGCACTATAACCTCACTTTCTTGTTTGTCTGTTTATTTGTTTGTTTATCAGAAAGTAAGTTTATATTGCATTGTCAGTTAGTTCTAAATTATATTTAAATTATCAAGTCTCAAGCTCATCGGGAAGTTTAATTCGATTGCAATTTTCTCCAAACAAATAGAAAAGCGGGTTAATAAAAAGTGATAAAATATTGACCACTTGCGGTGAAAGAAAACATTCCTTAACCGCTGAACACTTGATACCTACATCGGCATCAGTTTTGACGATCATCTTTTATTACTCTTTTCCTTCATTCTTTATAACTCTTTATATTAAGTCTATAACTACTTTACTTTTGTACTTGCCTTTTGTTACTTTAATTCAGTAGATCCTGTTATTTCTTGTTATTATAAGGTTTTTTCTTTCTTTTTTTTAAGTAATTAAAGCAATTTATAAGTACATCCTTTCTCTTTTCTTTTCTTTTTTGTCTCCTTTAATGATTTGTTAAGCCTACATAAATCATGTGCATGGCCATGTTTATGTGAATACTCTTCTATCTCCTATCATTATAAATAGTTTAGAATCAATAGCGTTGAAACCTAGCGTCATAAAGTTGTTAAAAAAACATCAAAGCTTAAATTAGAGGCAACTTTTTAGAGTTGATTTAATTTAAATATAAATTATGAGTTTTTATAATGTCTTCTAGACCGAATTTCCGTGATGGCGGCCGGTCTCAGCGGAAACTAGTCATTTAAAAGTACACTTAAAGATTATAGTGCACAGGTGTGTGTGGAAGTACAGCTGTGCAAAGTTTATTCTGAATTAAGGCCTTCATAATCCAATGGGATGATAATTCGACACCACCAAATAGAAATCAGGTGCAGAACGAACGGTTTTAAGTGCTTCTCGAGGCACGGCGGGAAATACCGCAAGCTTTCTGACTCCGAAAACTGAGAATTTCTTGACAGAAAAACACAGTAACTTATTTTTCCCGGACCGGAGATGCGAACTCAGGAACTTACGGTCAGCAATCACACTGTGATTAGACCGACCATGCGGTCATGAGCTAAAATGAGGTTATATAAAGATTATTTAATAATAAGGTCAAGGTTAATTACGTGAATTTATTGATTCGACTCAGATTGCGTACCTACGTATTTTATTTTAATACAAATAGGTTTTTTATGACCAACTCAATGTCTCAAACTCCTGGTATCCTCTGACATTTTAAAATTTCTTGTTATTACAACCTATCAAAAGTCTATATCCATATTTAGAGGAAGAGAAAAAGAAAGAGAAAGAGAAAGAAACATTTATTGGAACACGCTACAGACATCACTAAGCATTAAAAGAATCTAATTTTTACGGATTTTCTCGCGTTTAAGATTGACTTTTTTATTCCCGACGTTTTGGGGTGCTTTATAGCACCTGAAATTGTTACCATAACGAAACAGTAAAATCTGTAAAATTAGTTTCATTTAATGTGTAGTGTTCGCGTAAATATAAGCGATGAAGAGTTACGGGGAAATAACGTCACCCTGTCTTACACCTCTCCGCAGTTGGATAGGTTTCGAACTCTGGTTCGCACTTAAAATTTAATATTTCTGGACACATCAATTAACAAATGTATTAAAAAATAAAAAGACAACAATTTGACGGATATAACATTTAAAAAAGTATTTTTATAAATATGTAACTAAAATGTACACGTCACTCAGCTTATGCTGTCGCCGTAAAAACAGTGCCGGTTTTCAGTGAGCCCGAACGCATTGCAACATACCGACGTCCACGTGAGATACAAAATAATATTAAAAAGTCGAAAAAATATCTAATGTGCTGGCAGCAGTGGCTTTGAGCTGTTATCAGGAAACAGCTGCAGCCCAGCTCCTATGTGAGTCCCTTTCCCTCTGTAGGGGATTCTCGAACAGCGCGGCGCTACCACACGGCCTATTAATTCCTGATGAAGAAGCGCGTTTCTCACTATAGTTTATATGTTTATAGGTAATTATTCTTTCTTTTTCCTTCTTCATTATAAACCTTAAAAGGACTACTGACGTAAAAATACATAAAAGTAGAAGATTATATGAGCTTTATATTCCACCACTGCTGAATGTCACAGAGCACGTTCCTTAACCACCTGCGTCCATTGACTTCCTGCGTGTCTTATCAGGTCATCACTCCATCTAGTGGGGGGCCACTTTACACTTTGCTACCGGTACGAGGCTACCACTCAAAAACCTTTCTTCCCCATTGTGTGTTGGTTCTTCGTGCTACATGGATGCACTGGTTGTACAACCTTGTTTTAAAGTTTTGAGGTAAACCCTATATATGTATATATATATATATATATATATATATGTGTGTGTGTGTGTGTGTGTGTGTGTGTGTGTGTGTGTGTGTGTGTGTGTGTGTGTATGTGTGTGTGTAAAAATTAATATGTAGAAGTATATTCTAAAGTATTTAATTAGTGTGCCTTTTAGCCTTAGGCTTTACATATTAGCAATAAAATTAAAACTGCCTCTAATTAAATTAAAATGACGTGGAGTTTAATATTGAAGCGCCCAAGACCACGCAACTCGGATTTTCAACTGAATATTAACAATAATTTGACTCATTTTGATCAAGAAATCGCTATTTCTTTTGAGAAACATTCTATAAATGTTCCCTTTTTGACAACATAATCTTTAAATTCTTCTCCTACTGCCACCGGATCATTATTCTAAAAAAATGGAAAGGCTTGTTTAAAACCTTTAAAATTCCGTAGAGCATTGCCAAAAGACATCGTTAAATATTTTAAAATTATTGATGTTAAAAAAACGGCAGACTTATGGTGAAATTCCGCTAAATTCATTATTTCCATAATAGCTTCAAATCTGGCGTATTCCCCAATTTAATGAAACATAGTGAAGTCATGCCTCATAAAAAGGTATGAGTTATGACTTCAGTATGTTATAATATAAAGATTTAAATCTCGTAGTACATTGGACCCGTCAATATTAATTTCTGTGCTACTAATCGTCAGTGAAGTTCTAACAGTGCGAAAGTCAAAAATGTCTATTTTACAGGAGAGCAAAATAGCCGTGTAAAATTATTATTAGCTATATTTGAGGTATACTTATTGAGAAAACGTATTTAAAATTAAGTTATTAAAGAAATAAAATACGATTTATATAAAGTTATTTTTATTAATAAGGTATTATCGTGACTTCTGCTCTGTTCATTAAAATTTGCTTTGACTTACACCATGTTTCTTAGTCAGATAATTGGAAAGTAATTACAAAAAGTTAAATCAAATTTGTGTTATGTTTAAGGAACTTACAAAAATGAAAGATATTGCACAAGTAAAGATAAAAATGTAGATATTATATTATTATTATCAAAATAACAACATTATTTTTCTAATCAACATTTTTTTTTCTTAAACAAACTGGGTGTATTAAAATTATCAAAATAAACTTAAACTATAAGTCAAATCAAAATACTTAAACCTTAAAAAAATTAAAAAAAGTTTTCAAATGTATTTGCCTATACTAACAACATAATAAGGAATCCATAAATAACGTATCAATGAGGTAGAAAATCGTAGTATATATGACAGTCGAAACGAATGACGGCCTTCAATTCTTGCAAATGTCGACATTTACTTTCAGCTATTTTTATTGCACTTTGGTAAAGTTTTGGTCTACTGGGTAGGTTTTCAGGGATCATCAGCACCCTACGTCGAGTTCTGCCGCGAGGCAACTCTTGATATTCTGCATCAAAGCTTAAATTATACTTGATTATTCCGTTAGGGTTATATTGTAGCACTCTTAAGTCTGTGACAGTAGGATCGTTGGTTGTTCGACCTGGCCGTATAGAGTCATAAACAAATATATTCTTTTGAGTGTAGTCCTCAAAAAACTCGTAACTCAAACACTCAACTATATAAGGCTGTTTAGGTCTAGCTTCCTTGGAGAGTACTGCATATTGAGAGGACAGGAAGATCTCCTTATTTTTGGTTTTCTGCTCGATGGAAATGTGCACTGCGTCACACTCCATCTGCGTATGTCCCTTTTCCAAAACTTTTGTTCGATTATGAAATTTTTTTCTATTGCTAATTGCAAAAGTGCATTACTAAGGAAAACATTCCTATTCTATGCCGTACAACCATCAGAAAAAAGGATAATAGGAACACATTTTTGCTCTAAAAGTTCTACTCAGTATGTGTATGCGAACGAAGCTGTTAGACCAGCGTTTGTTTCATCGAACCAGTAGCAGTGGACATCTTTGATTTCTAGATTTATACATTGTGAAATTATTTACACAGAGTTTAGTTTTGTAATAAAGAGCACTGGCCTGTAACTGAGGACACAACTTGACAGCTTGTAGGTCGTGCGTAAAAATATGTATATCACCGAATTGTTGAGCTCTATTTTTATCCCTTAATTTTTCATTTCTGGCCACGACCTTTCAGCGTATATGAGCGTTATATTTATTATCCGTTATATTTCTCACTTTGTGCACTACAGGTACTACAAAATAGTTACAGTAAAATTTTTGAAAAAATAGTTTTAGATCTAACGATAAGTTTTCTTAATATAGATAAATTGCTTTATAAAAATTAATTTGGTTTTACAAGGGGTCTCTAGACAACTAACTCTGGTCTTTAGCTCATTAAACATATTTTTAACTGATATTTTTGTCATGAAATGCGGCTGGTTGAGAAATTATTATAGTTTTGCGCAACCTAAAACCGAGAGAGTCTGAGAGACTAGAGACTGAATTCAAACTATAACTTTGGTGTCTGAGAGACTGAAAAATTCAAAATTCAAAGCTATAACTTTGGTGTCTGAGAGACTGAAAAATTCAAAGCTATAACTTTGGTGTCTCAGTATATTTACGGAAACTTAAAAAGAGAAGAAACTATAACTGCACGGAGTCCATAATTCATTCATGGGGCAAAGATGATGAGATTTTATAAGAAAGTCCCACAAAAAAAATTAAAGGTTTCTTTTTTACCAAGTTTAAATATTTTATTTATTAAAACCTGTATAAAAAAGACAACAAGACTGCAATGCCTACAAGATTGCAATGCAGTGGACGATATGAATGACAAGCTCGTGGAAACTGTCCATGCGGTCGGAGCTAAGTTCTGCAAGACCCGCCGCAGAAGAACACAAAAACTCTCCGATCACACTCTTAATCTCATGGCTGTTAGACGGGAGATGAGGCTGCAATCGTCAACAGATTTGACAGCATACAGGCAACTGAACAGACAGATCTCCAAATGCATGCGGCGAGACTTACGCAACTTTAATACTGCTCGTATTAAAGAAGCGATCGAGCGGAACCAGGGCTCCAAAGTCTTTGCCAGAGATCTATCTGCCAGAAAGAGCCAACTGTCAAGGCTGAAGACTGAGTGTGGCAGCATCGTTTCCGGGACACCTGAGATTTTGAGTGAGATTGAGAGGTTCTATGGGCAGCTGTACACATCATCGTTGGAGCCACACGCAAGTGTGAGTAACGATCCAAGAGCAAGTCTTATCCGACACTATTCCGATGATATCCCGGACGTCAGTCTAAGCGAGATTAGAATGGCTCTCCAGCACCTTAAAAACGGCAGGGCCCCAGGCGAGGATGGAATTACAGCGGAGCTTCTGAAAGCGGGTGGAACACCGGTACTTGAAGTCCTTCAGAAGCTCTTCAATTCCGTCCTCCATGGTGGCACTACTCCAGAGGCGTGGAGCAGAAGTGCGGTGGTCTTGTTCTTTAAGAAAGGCGACAACGCTCTCTTGAAGAACTACAGACCGATTTCCCTTCTGAGCCGCGTCTACGTGCTGTTTTCGAGAGTCATTACGAATCGTCTCGCACGCAGACTCGACGACTTCCAGCCTCCCGAACAAGCCGGTTTCCGAAAAGGCTTCAGTACCATAGACCACATACATACCCTGCGGCAGATTGTACAGAAGACTGAAGAGTACAATTTGCCACTTTGCCTGGCGTATGTGGACTATGAGAAAGCCTTTGATTCCGTCGAAATTTGGGCGGTGCTGCAGTCCCTTCAGCGGTGCCAAGTTGACTGTCGGTATATTGAAGTGCTGAAGTGTTTGTACAGTAGGGCTACGATGGCTATCCGAGTACAGAACCAGAGCTCGAAACCTATCCAACTGCAGAGAGGTGTAAGACAGGGTGACGTTATATCCCCGAAACTCTTCACCGCTGCTTTGGAAGACGTTTTCAAGCTACTGGACTGGAAAGGATACGGTATTAACATCAATGGCGAGTACATCACTCACCTTCGATTTGCCGACGATATAGTCCTTATGGCAGAATCGCTGGAGGACTTAAGCACTATGCTCAATGACCTCAATAGTGCCTCCCAACGGATAGGTCTTAAGATGAACATGGACAAAACAAAGATTATGTTTAATGTCCATGTCACACCTATGCCGGTAGTTGTTGGGAGCACTATGCTCGAAGTTGTTGACGAGTACGTTTACCTGGGACAAATAGTCCGACTAGGTAAGTCCAACTTCGACCGAGAGGTCAATCGACGGATTCAACTCGGCTGGGCAGCGTTCGGGAAATTACGACATATCTTCTCGTCAGGTATACCTCAATCTCTGAAAACTAAAGTGTACAACCAGTGCGTGTTGCCAGTGATGACTTACGGATCAGAGACGTGGTCCTTCACTGCTGGCCGTATGAGGACGCTCAAGGTCGCTCAGCGAGCTATGGAGAGGGCTATGCTCGGAGTTTCTCTGCGTGATAGACTCAGAAATGAGGATATCCGCAGTAAAACCAGATTGACCGACATAGCCCAACGGATTAGTAAGCTGAAGTGGCAATGGGCCGGCCATATAGCTCGAAGAACCGATAACCGATGGGGAAGAAAGGTTCTCGAGTGGCAGCCTCGTACCGGTAGGCGTAGTGTAGGGCGACCCCCCACTAGATGGAGTGACGACCTGGTAAGATATGCAGGAAGTCGATGGATGCAGGTGGCTCAGGACCGTGCTTTGTGGCATTACTTGGGGGAGGCCTATGTTCAGCAGTGGACTTGTGAAGGGCTGTGATGTATAAAAAAGGGGTTTTACTTTTAATATAAATGCATACATGGTTGATTCCCAGAGGTTACCTCTGGCTATGAGGTGTAAACAGGTACAAACTGTTTCTATAAGTTTTGTTAGCAGTTTTTACAAACTATATTCTCGCTAGTTCTTCTCAGGACAGAGTTTTTTTCTGAACCAGTAGTAAAAGTAAAAAATGACTTTCAATAAAAATTACGCACACACACACACACACACACACACACACACACACACACACACACACACACACACACCCGCCCACACACACAAACACACACACACACACACACACACACACACGCGCGCACACGCACACACGCACGCACGCACGCACGAACGCACGCACACGCGCACACACACACACACACACACACACACGTTCGTAAATATTTATAGCGCCTGCACGTTTATTAGTAGCAGAATGTTGATTACAATTTTGCTGTAACCTGCGAAAGATTTCATCCTATTGTTTTTTTTTTATAGAACCAAATAAGAAAAATCTCTGGAAGCATATGTAATTCATTCATGGGACAATGTACTCGTATACGCTACGACAAAAAAGCCCTAGAAAATATACAAAGTCTCTCTATTAACAAGTTCAAAGGTTTTCTTAAACAAAAAGATTATAAAAGGCTAATTATAATATTAAATAATAAACACTTGATAACTTCTGAAAATCAAGTTTGGTTTTTATAGAATAAGGGTGAAAAACGAGTACACAGTCCTCCATTAAGAATCCAAATAGAGATGTGTTGTTACTCCTAAAGACTAAGGTGATAAGCTGTCTGGTTATAACATAATATTTTTTAATTATTTTTTTTACATAATGAAATTCATAACATCCTAACCTATCTTTTTATTACTCTACCAACAAATAACGTCAATATTAAATATAAATATTCAAAAAGCCCGATAAATTCAATTATTTCAGTAGTTTTTATCACATACTAGCTGTTACCCGCCACTTTTTGATTTGAAAGAAAACTGAGTTTTATAGATTTGTCAGAGATGCAGCCATTAAAAGGAAACTGACTGACTGACTGTCAGCCTATTTAAATGTTTTGAAACGCGGCGTATAGGAAAGCATGAAAATAGCCTGTTTATTCCAAATGGAAATGTGATATTTTTTTAATTATAGGAAACTGAGCATAATTATCCGTTAGGGATGCAGACTTTTGAAAAGAAACTGAGGTAAATTGATTCGTCAGAGATGCAGTTTTCTGAATTGAAAGGAAACTGAGCCAAATAAAAGATCCGTCAAATCAAATCAAATTCATTTATTTGCATAATACAGGTATAAGAGTTGTTACAAAAAAATTAGAATATGTACACTGTATTATTACCTTATGAGGTGTGCAAATACTTTACAATATAGTCTACGCATTACTAATTCAATAATGGTGCTTTGAAATAAAATTAAGAATAAGAAAAAAAATATTGTCAATAGTTGAGTCTATAGTGCTAATTGTTGTCATACTAAATACTTTGATATTATATAAACTCGAAATTAAATATTTTTGATAATACGAATAATCAAATCCAAATTGTTGTCATACAAAATTTAAGTTAAATTATAATTTAACTTACTAATCTTATTAAATTGTTACAATGTGTCACATATATTAGGTAAATGTATAAATTACTATTATTCAGTTATAATTAAATTCAAATTATTATTATTAACTTACAATTAAATCAAAACTATTGCTATTAAATTATAATACTTTTGTCCTCTAGGTACTCTTTGACTTTATAATAACATTTATTAATCAGAAATTTGTGTAACATCGTCTTAAATCGTGAGATAGGCAACTTTCTGACATCATCTGGCAGTTTGTTGTGAATCAGTGATGCCATACAAAGAATACTTTTATTGAGTAGTGCAGTATCTCCATACGGTATTTCTATGTCTAATCTTTTTTTGTCGCGTAAATGTCTATAGTAGTAGCTTTTAAAAGCAGTCTCGTAAAA